AAGCATCTATTTGGCTTGTAAAACCCTCTACAATGTGGTGGTGGCAGTAGATAGAATGTCAGACCTGCAGTCAGAAAGACTCATCTTTGTGAGTTCAAATCTGGCCTCAGACACTTACTAGCTGTGTGACCTTGGGCAGGTCTCTTAACCCTGTTTGCCTCACTTTCCTCATCTGTAAAATGAGCTCTAGAAGGAAATGACAAACCACTCCAGTATCCTTGCCAAGAACGGGTCACAAAGAGGTGGACGTGACTGAAGTGAATCAACAACAACAACACAAGCTGACTGTCTCCTATTTTTCTTTTTCTTTTTTTTTTGGTGAGGCAATTGGGGGTAAGTGACTTACCCAGGGTCACACAGCTAATGAGTGTTATGTGTCTGAGACTGGATTTGAACTCAGGTCCTCCTGACTCCTGAGTCAGTGCTCTATCTACTATGCCACCTAGCTGCCCCAGTCTCCTACTTTTCTGGTCTTAAATTTCACTCTCTTCCATTTACTTTATGGTCCAGTAATTTGTCTACTTACTGCTCCTCATACACCACACTCCATTTTCCAACTCCATGCATTTGTACTGGATGTCCTGGAGTGTTCTACCTCCAACGTGTAGCTTCCCAAAGCTTACTTCAAGACAGCTCAAATTCCACCTCCTGGAGGAGTCTTTCCTCAGTTGCCCAGCCACCTCCCAACCTTCACAGTGAATCCCTTCCCTCTGAGATCACCTCCCATCTACACTGTATCAATCTTATATCCCATTATAATGGGAGATCCTTGATGAGAAGTAACTGTTTTTTCTTCTTTTTGTGTCTCTGTTTAGAACAATGCCTGGCATATATTAAGTGCTTAATAAATGTCTGTTAATTGACTGATACAAAATTAATATGGTAGGGCTAGGAAAGTATTTCAATAGATTTCCTTCTCTGATACTTTTCTCCCCTCTAGTTCTCAGCCTTATATAGGGGCACTTCTACATCTGTTTTTTAATGGTTATTAAACATTTTATTTATCTTAATTTTTTTGTTACATTTCAAGTTCTGAACTGTCTCCCTCCCTCTCTCTCCATCCTGCACTAAAGAAGGCCACCATTTCACACACACACACACACACACACACACACACACACACACACACACATGCATGAACGCACACACATATGCAAACATGTACATACATGTGTGAGTATGCATGAGTGCATGTATGCATGTGTGTGTAAAACCATAATATGTATACTTCTATTTATCAATTCCTTCTCTGGAGATGAATAGCATCTCCCTTCATAGGTCCTCTGTAGTTGATTTGAATATTTATAATATCTGAATAGCCTAGTCATTCACGGTTATTCTTCAAACAAATATTGTTGTTATCATATACAATGTTCTCTTGGTTTTTGCTCACTTCATTCTTCATTATTTCATGCAAGTTTTTCTGTGTTTTTCTAAAATCAACCTGCTCATCATTTCTTCATTGTTTTATTAAAAATATTGAATACCATCACAATGAAATAAACTTGTTATTTATGTTTCAACGAACATATTTCAGTGCAAAAAGTATTGTGATGGCTTTTTGGTCACTCCCTTGAAATACACTTCAGCATTCTTTCTTTGCCCATTTATTCTCATTCTTTAGAAAATATCATTTGCAACTCAGAGGATTACTGTCTACAAAGATCCACAGAGGGTGATACTGATTCTAAGGACATTTGGATAATAGAGAAAAGCAGGAAAAATCATTGGAAATATGTAGGTGTATGGCACTTCCTCTGCCATGATCTCTTTTCCATAGGAATATGTGTAAATGTACTTTTGTGAGTCACCTTCAGTTTCCCCAAATTTGATCACATCCTATATTAACAGCTTCCTGCTCTTTCCCACCCACTCTCTCAGGGTGATGAGACTTCAAGGAATTTATTGTTGGATAGCAGAAAGGTTTTGTTTTCTGTAATTGGGTATCCTATGACCAGTCTGACGCATTGACACATGGGTTACATTTTAGTAACAACATCTGGTACAGCATGATGGATAAAGGGCTAGCTTTGGAGCCAGGTAGATCTGGATTCAATTTCTGCCTCAGATGCGTACTACTTATGTCATCATGAGCAAGTCATTTAACCAACAAGTTCACCCTGAGCAATTCTCTAAGACTGTAAGTTAAAGGCAGGAGGTTCAAGGGGGTCTCCACAATGATGAAATCACAGGTTTTATATTCCCCTCAAGAAAGAATTCTTGGTACCCTTGTGATTTTCAATATGCAATTCAAATACTTGAATATCTTTTACAATCATATATTTCGTAGACACATGTAGAACTTGGATAGGTAGTGATGTCAGTGAAAGAACAGTAGAGTAGGAATCTAAAAACCTAAGTTTAATCCTGGCTTCCTTTCTTTTCTTTCCTTTTCTTTTCTTTCCTTTTCTTTTCTTTTCTTTTCCTTTCTTTTCTTTTCTTTTCTTTTCTTTCTTTTCTTTTCTTTTCTTTTCTTTTCTTTTCTTTTCTTTTCTTTTCTTTTCTTTTCTTTTTTTATTTAAATTTTTTTTATGTTTTCCATATTCTTTTGAGTTGAAAATTTTTCTCCCTTTTCTCCTCCCCACCCTCCCCAAGATGGCGCACAATCTGGTATAGGCTTTACATTTACATACCCATTAAACATAGTTTCACATTAGTGAAGTTGTAAGTAAAAATTAAAACCAATACGAGGAACCATCAGAAAGATGAAACAAAACTCAACAGAAGGTAAAAATAAGTGATAGCGATTCGACTTCCATAGTTCTTTCTTTGAATGTGAACAGCATTATCCATCCTGAGGCCTCTGGAAATGTCTTAGATCCTCATAATGCTGAGAAAGGTTCAGTTTAACAGTCTTAGTCATTGCATAACGTGGCTGTTATTGTGTACAAAGTCCTCTTGGTTCTGCTCACTTCACTCAGCATCAGACCATATAAGTCTTTCCAGGTTTTTCTGAAGTCAACCTGTTCATCATTTCTTACAGCACAATAGTATTCCACTGGCTTTCTTTCTCAACCTCTGTATGTGACCTTGGGCACCTCTCTAGGTATGTTTCAGGAATGTGCTGGAGCCAGCTCAAACCTGCTTTCTAGAGCTGATGACTGTTAAATTTTCGTTTACAGTGAGCATTTACACTTCAGAAATCAGCAAAAATACTACAAGTCAGGGCTTGATCTATTGCACTGTTGATTGTCTAGATTTAAGTGGTGGAGAAAATGTTAATAATGAAGATTAAATTTAAAAGTGTGTCATGCATACATTTTCCCTTCCAGAAATCTGGTTGTTGAACATTTCGTAGTATATCCTTGGCCTGTTTCCCCTTCTGTAAAATCAACAGGTTCATCTAAATGGCCTCTGAGTTTCCTTATAGCTCTAGATCTTAGTATTCCATCAAACCAAAGAAATGTTATTGGACTAAATTCTCCATACTCCCTTTCTCCATCACCAATGAAAGTCACAATATTAGGGGAAACCTTCAGAGGTTATGGAAAAGTAATTTCTCTGAAGTGTTGGGAGAGATTGTTTTCCTTTCTGATATAGCAAATAGATTCCTCCCCTTCCAGACAGCCATCCCATATAACAAATATTTTTTTAAGAGGAAGAAGAGAAAAAAATTGACAAACCCAATCGATATGTTGAAAGAATCTGAAAATAGATCTAATGTTCCACACCCGTGGACCTCTCACCTCTTCAGAGTTGTGTGTGGAGGGAGGAGGGGTCATCTTTCTTCTTTGGGGCCAGGCTTGTTCTTTACAATTTCAGCAAGATGTTCTTTGCCATTGACTTTTCAGAAAGCTTAAATCACAGAATCAAATAATCTAAGAGTTGGTAAAAGTATTAACCTTTTTTGCCAGCTCAATTTTCCTCCTCGTCTCAATAAGCTTACTTTAGGTCCCATTTTTTCTAAGATGTGCCATTGCAAACTTCCTTCCCAGATTTACATTGAATTTGGCACTTTTGAAAGCATTAATGGTTTAAAAAAAGGCAGCTGTCTTTTTTAAATTTTCTCCAATTATACTTGATGGGTTATCTTATTTAATTTTAAACATGTTTTCCCTTTGGATTCCTCATTACATAGCACAGCACATAACTCATCACTTGTTCAGGGACCAGTGGTTTGATTGTCCATGCATAGACCATCATTCCTTTATGGCTTAGAAGATGTAGAAGATGATCTTCCAGAGTTCTTGTACCTGCAAAATGTGTCACCTGTGGCCATCCTGGTGGTTAGTTTTAGTACATGCACAATTTAAAAAAAAAAAGGTCCATGAAGATTCTTAAAAACCATCAACGAACAGAGAACTAAAATTTAGATTTAAAGCTAGAAGAGACATTAGAGATCATTTAGTTCAATCACTTTGTTTTAAAAATAAAATAATAGGGGCAGCTAGGTGGCGCAGTGGATAAAGCACTGGCCCTGGATTCAGGAGGACCTGAGTTCAAATCCGGCCTCAGACACATAACACTTACTAGCTATGTGATCCTGGGCAAGTCACTTAACCCCTAAACAAAAAAGTCTAATCATTCTACCACATGGCAGACCTTCCAAGATATGACAGCTGCCATGTTCTCCCTAAGTCTTTATTTCTCTGGACTAAATGCCACTACAACCATCTTTCAATCTTGTGTAGCAAATTCTCTTGTCTTTGGCCATCATGGTCATCATCATCTGGATATACCTTCCTAAAATGTGGCCCCCAGACCTGAAAACAGCTGTCTGGGTGTAGTCTGATAAAAGCAATGCACAGAATTCTTCTAGATGTCATTCCTTTTGATGTAGCTTAGGATAGCATTAGCTTTTCAGATGACATGTCATATTGTTGACTCATGCTGAGTATGGCAAACCAAAAAAAAAGGAATTTCCAACTGAATCATGACTTCTATACGTTAGGGGAAACTTTGGGCTTCCAAAGTTAATCTCATTTAATTAAAATTTTTTACAAATTCCATTTACCAAAGTCAGTAGTTGAACATTCACACATTTTATTCCAATGACAACACGTTTTCTGCCAACAGATAAAAATACACCATTATTTCCACTGAAACATGAAGTCTTGAATATGAAGTGAAACCCCTGGAAATGACAGAATGTAAACACATGGTGACATTAATTACAGCAATATTTAGCTTTTAGAGCATATGGTAGCATTTTCTAAAATGTGTAAGCAATGATCAGAATGAATTCATTAGGCATCTATATGTATTTGTCATGTCCTCATAAAGGTGCTCCCCTCTGCTCTGTTAAAGGCTAATGGCTATTTTAGTGAAGTATTACCCCACAGATGGAAGACATTATTAACTACTGTTTTCCTTGCTTGTCAAAAATGTTTTGTCCAATCATCACCCTAATTACACATGCACAGCGCAGTAAATCAGAGTAAAGAAAATATTCATAATAAGGTCAGCCATTAGGGTGAAATGCAAAAAAGCTTAGACTTTAAAACAAAAATGAATCTGAGTTGGCGCTTTTGCTGAAGAATAAAATTCTGCATTCAAGGTCAGACAGAAAGAAAACTTTAGGGTTTTGGCTTAATTTTCTTGGATCTGCACATGTGTGCATGCACACACATACACATACATTCACACACATGTATATACATGTACATATATATATAAAACATATATATTATAGACATATAATCACAAGCAATTTAAAAGTAAGGTTCATGTTTTCTATTTTTCTTGGGTCTAACATGGTGCCAGGCCCTTAATAATATTCATCGATTCACTGCTAAATAGTATTCTGGAGTGTTGCCTCTGTTATTTGCTATTTAGTCTCCAATCTGTCCTAATGTACCCATTCTTTTTAACGTATTCGGTTTGCTAATAACCTTTATTACATCTGCAGGATTTCTTTACTACTGGTGAGTTAGTGTTGATGTTTTACTGTCGTTTAGATCGGGCCTGTTATTTCCAAGTCTCTCCTTGCCCTGTTTTGCTCACCTCAAAAGCAGTCCTGAACGACAGTTAGTACCTAACTTCTGAATTCTATTTCATGACTAACACTAATACTTTGTTTCATACGTATACATTTTTCTCTTAGCAGTTCAGCAAAAATGCATGTCCTGTGACTATTGCCCATTACATGCTGTGTCACCATTAAGTAAAGTTAAGTGCTGGCCAGGCTTTGACTTCCTTTATTTTTAAGACCATCACCTACTGATTATGGAATCAAACCAAAGACTTATTTTCCATAGAACGCCTAGCTCCATTTACCAATGTCTGCTTTTGCCAGTTGGTTAGACATGGGCTAATAGAAGTTATTCCAAAAATTCTTTTGCAAAAATTCATTTTATGTAAGAGATTGTTTCTGTTCCTTTTTATTTGGATATATGAGAATGGGCTGTGACTGAAGACAGATATACAAATATATCATAATCAATCAGTTAATCAGCAAACATTTATTAAGGCATTTGACAGAGGTGAAATGGTTCCAGGGTTTAGGGAGCTTACATGTAATTAGAGGAGACAGATATATACATGTGTATGTGTATTATATATAGTGTATGTTATATATCTGTAGATATGTATATATAGATATGTATATATATATATGTATACCATATATACATATTCACACATACACATACACACACAAAACAAATGTTAGGTAATTTGGAGAGGAGACACTGACAGCCTGGGAGATCAGGAAAAACTTCATGCAGATGGCGATACTCAAGGTGGGTATTAAAGGAAACATGACAAACGTGCTGTTTGACATTTCTAGGTGGTTTATAGCAGCTGTCAACTTCCTCCGTTGCCCACCTAGGTGATGCCTACATTTTTTAAATCAAAAGAGTAACCACAATGTTGCTATTATAAAATCTGATGCTTCACTGGCTACCTATTTTAAATTCCTCTTTTCCATACTATTCATACCAGGGTATTTCCCTGAAGTGCATCAGGGTTGTGTTATAAACACAAGATGACTGGGAAATGTGTTTATCACACCTAAGGTACCTACTGTACTCTACATTGATGCATCAAATCTCTTTCTGTTCAGTTGCCATAAATGATCATTAATTGAATACCTATAACTAATCAACAAACATTTCTTAAGCACTTAAAAAGCTCTAGGCACTGTACACAGTGATACTAGGGATACATGCAACAAATAATGAAACAATTCCTATTTGTAAAGAGCATATATTCTAACCAAAATGGTAAACATAAAGTGAATAAATACAAATATCTACAAAGTAGTTAAATGTAAGGTAGTTTGGGAGGGAGGTCCCTAGGGACTGAGGGGATCAGGAAAGGTTTCTTTTGGAGGATGATTCTTGAGCTGCCTCCTAAAGGAGGAAAACTCTTTGAGAGGGATGTAAGGATAGAGTGCATTCCAGGCATGTGAGACAGATGCAAAGCCATGAAGATAGGAGATAATGTGTGTGAGTGTGTAAGCAACAGAGAGAAAGGCTAGCTTGGCTGGTTAGGGAGGGAGAATAATGTCCAAGAAAACTGGAAAGATAGGGTGGAACAAGTTTGAATAGGGCTTAAAAAGTTGAACAGAAGAGTTTATATTTCCTCTCAGAGGCAATAGGAAGCCACTGGAGTAGGTTAAGTATGGGGTTCAACTCTTTCACTTTACAGACAAGGAAACTGAGGCCCCAGAAGGTTAAGTGACTTGCCTAAAGTCACAAAAACAGTATCAGTCACAATTTGACTTTCTACTGTATCATGCTGATATTTTGAAAGGAAGAAAACACTAACAAATTAGGGAGGTGGGGAAATGCTTCCTGTGATACCTAAGTCAAACCTTGAAGGAAGCTAAAGATTTAAGAGGTCAAGGTAAAGAAGGATTGCATTACGAGAATGGGCGACGGCTGGAACAAAGATATGTAGACAAGAGATGGAATGTTGAGTTCTGGGAACAGCAAATAGTCCAATTTGGCTAACACTTTTTCTACACAGAGCTGATTCTATCATTTCCTCTAGTGATAAGTCTGTGTGAGGAAGAATAATTCGGAATGGACTCTGTGGATTTGGAGAAAAGAAATCTCCTGACCTTGAAACGAGAGCATTATCTACAGAGAACAAACTATTCCAACTGGCCACTGTAGGGCGCTGCTGCTTCACACAATGATAGTTCATCTGTGCTAGATTTGCTCATGGGCAAAAACAAAAAACCACCATATAAAGTGGATTCAGATACTGAAAGAGAAGATGCATGATCGGATTTAAAAAAATTATCAGGAGGGCCTTTTTTGCGAACAAAGTTAGGCTGGCAAAACAGGTTTAAAAGAAATTTGAAGATTTCAGGCTGCTGGGGAGTTGGGATACTCTCCCTTTACAGAAGTGAATCTGTTGTTTGAAAGGTCATAATAGAAAAGGAGGAGGAAGTTGGGAAGACCCCAATCCATACACTTATTTTGGGTAGAGCATATTGTGGAGAGTCCAAACAAAAGATAGGTATGATCCCAGGTTTTAAGATTCTATAGGCAACAGTCAACTTAAAAAGAATGGAATAATCTTATAAAAGTGAATGTTGAAAACTAAAACTAAATTAATTTAAAAAAAGAAGAATGGAATGTTTTCAAGTTCTGACAATACACAGAAATGATTTGATGGGAAAGGAAAAGGCAAACTGTCTAAAGAGAACTATATAGGCGAGGAGAGATTGAACCAAATCATCTCCAAGGAAAGTTTTCAGCTGAAAATCTTTGATCCTATTATCTGATTTTTTTTCTTTTACCTATGTCTGGGGAGCAAAGGTGAGATTTTAAAAAGGAGGAGCAGAACTGTTTCAGTATGGCAGATGAAATGATGGAAATGAGGGTTGAGAGAGGCTTATGTAAAGTGCTTTTCAGAGTTTAAAGGGCTATCGAACTACAGTTACTCTTACTAAGCCTCTTCTTTGGTTTGTTCTCTCTGCCTGGTCTGGCACTTTGTCCACTGTCGCCACAGGCTGGAAACATTGGTGTACCAAACTGTTGCGAATCCAACATTACATATTTTGTAAAGAAATAATTTCATAATAAGACTTGGATCCTAGTCAATGAAAACCACGTGCATTAGTGTATATACAATCAAATGCCCCCTTTAATGCCATGAGACACCTGTATCCTTTGCTTGGGTTTCAGAAGCTGCTAGTCAAGGACCTATTGATAACTTGGAAAAATGTCTTTCCTTTCATCACTATGGGTAACACTACATTCAGCGCTACTATACATACTCAAAAATGCTATGAGAATTTAATAGAGTCTTATTAAAGGCTGGGACACCATCTCATTCTATCCTTTCACCATGTGGAACCAAGAGGTGATCCATATGACAGCCCTGGCTAGGGCTTTGAAGACAGTGTTTTATGAGCAGAAGGCTCCCCTGTAGACCAGAGTGTCTTAGTGGGGAGCCTTTCCCCAGAGGTTGACTCCTCTGTGAGTGGGCATTGAGCCATCCTATCCTTCACATGTGTTGTGAAGTGAAGGCATCTGCAATCTTCTATGGCAAAGGTATAAGAACCACTCACACGATACTGTAAGGACTAAACTCTCCATCACGACACTGATAAAAGAGTATCCTAATTATCCTAAGAAACATTCTCTTTTCAAATGGAAATAATTTTCTAGTGTCTTAAGCTAGATGTTGGCTAAGCACACTGGGCTTTCACTTTGAAAAGTAATGAACTCAAATGTTACAAAAGCAATAAAACTTTCCCTGAGGGGCCAAAGTTCTGTTTCGTGTCATATCCACTTATTTTTCATTTCTTTGGAACCCACAGTGCTGCTAGGTGTCTTGTGAGCTTTTGGGGAAAATTCATTAGTGGATTTCTTAAATTTAGGACTGCTGTAACCATACAACAAAAAACATATTCAAGTGGTGGGTGTGTGGTAGTTTCTGGGTGTCTTTTTTTAAAAGGGTGACTACTGTTCTTATTTGGGCACTAGTGAATTCAGTTCAACTCAGAACTTTATTAAGTGCCCTACCATGTACAAGGTGCTGTGCTAGGCACTAAGGGAAGCTAAACAATGTTTGTTTTCACTCTGGCTATACAATGTGTTTACAGGTAAGTAAATACAAAGTCATTTCAGGAGGGAAGAGGAAGGAAATAAATATTTACTAAGTACTTACTAGGCACTGTGCTAAGTACTTTTCACATTTTTTCCAACTAATTTTCAGATTTATTAAAAAATATTTATTAAATAATATTTCAAATAATTTTTCAAAATTATCTCATTTGATCCTCATAGCAATCCTGGGAGGTAAGTGCTATTATTTAGCCTTATTTCACAGTTGAGGAAATTGAGGCTGAGAGAAGTCACATGACTTACATAGAGTCACAAAGCACTAGTAAGTGTCTGAGGCTGGATTTGACGTTAGAAGACCTGACTTCAGATTCTATCCACTGGGCCACCTAGCCACCTAACTAACTCCTGGAGTCTCAGAGAAGGCTTTGTATAGAATCATAAGATCACAGACTTCAAGTTGTGAGGGACCCTAGATCTTCTAGTCCAACCTCCCAATTTTACAAATGAAGAAACTGAGGCCTGGAGAAGTCAATTAACTTGCCTACTGTCCTAAAGTTAGAAGCAGATTCTGGATTTGAATCCATGCCCTCTGATTTCAAATAGGTCCTTATTCCATTGAACCAGAACTTCTCCCAAGATAAGTACATAGTAGTTGATTGGAAAAAAAATTAGTGTGGGGATAGGCAAAAAGAGGAAGCCCTGACCTAAAGAGGAGGTCCCTTGAAGGAAGCTGGGAACTCTTAACAGGCAGACTACATCTGCTCAAAGGCCCAGTGGAATGGAAAGTCCAGGGCCAGAAACATCAAGTTTATGTGTGGGGGTAATATGAAATAAGTATGGAAAGGTAGGTAGATGTCAAATTAAGGATCTACATTTTATCCTACTGGTAATAGGGAATTGCTAAAGTTTGGTTGGGGTGGCGTGATATGATCAGATCTGAATCAGCTAATCAATATTAAGCATGATTGTTGAGTGACTGATTTGGGAGTGGGGTGGGGAAGGGAACAAGCATTTATTAAGAACTTCCTATGTGCCAGACACTGTGCCATGTGCTTCATGGTTACTATATCTCATTTGATCCTGACAACAACCTTGGGAGGTAGGTGCTATTATTATCCCCATTTTACAGATAACGAAACTGAGGTTAAGTGATTTGCCCAGGGTCACTAACTAGTGAGTGTCTGTGGCTGCATTTGAACTGAGGTCATCCTGACTCCAGACCCAGTGCTCTATGCACTATGCCACCTAGCAGAGTAACCAAGAACTTGTCTTGTCTCCACTCGACTGTAAATGTCTTGAGCCTAGACCTTGTCTCTTAATTTCATTTCTTTCAGTACCAGCAGCACAATACCCTGCACGTGAAGGGTCCTTAATACATTTTTTTTAAGAACATGAAATACTTGTTAAGTACCGATTTGTTCAATAGTTGACTTCTTCCCTTCTAGCCCCTTTCGCCATTGAAGAAGACAGATAATTTTCTCTCCACCACTTCTGTGTGAGTTGAGACACATTCTCCAACCCTTGGTTTTAGCCAATGAATGACTTCCCTTTGTAGATTTGGCATCTCTAACTCTATCCCATGGCAGAATATGCTTATTGAATGAATGAATAAGCCCATATTATCAAAACCTGGAGACTGCTTGACAGAAAGCAAGGAAGACTTTAAAAAAAATCCCCAAAACCCTAACCAATGAGTTAGCTGCAGTGATGGATAAGGTCTGGGGAGAACATTTGGAACTAATAATAGCTTACATTTATTAGCACTTTACGGTTTACTAAGAGCTATTCTCACAACAACCTGTGAGGAAACTAATATGAGCTGACATTTATATAGTGTTTTATGTATGGTATCTCATTTAATCCTCACAACAGCTCTGTGAGGCAAGCTCTTCTTGCCAAGAGGTGGAGCTAGTCTCAACTAAGTGCTATTGTCCCATTTTACAGATGTGGGAACTGAGGCTCGGGGAGGTTCAGTGACTTGTCCATGGTTAGACAATGAGTAAATATCAGAGATGAGACTTCAGTACAGGTCTCCTGATATCAAATTCAGTGTTCTTTGCACCATATCACATTGTTTTTCTTTAAGAGTATTACCTAGAGGTTCAACAGTCAAACTACCATTTCTCACACAAGCTGTCCCATTTCTTTGCATGCCATGGCTGTCTCCCCTGCTTGGCATGCATCTCCTCCTCACCTCCACTTCTTAAAATCCCTCCTCTCTTTTTTGAGGCTCAGCCCAAGCCAAAGCATGAAGGTTTTCTTGATCCCCTTCAGCCCTCCCTCTGAAAATGCCCTTGCATTTATTTTGTGTGAATTCTGATTTATTTCTATGTGTGTTGTCTCTCCCACTAAAATGTAAGATCCTTGAGGGAAGAGATTGATTTATTTTTGTCTTTGTATCCTCAGCACCTAGAATAATGCCTGGCACATAGCAGGTGTTAAATAATTTTTTATTATATTATTATGCTATTATATGTTATATTACGTTATAGTATTATACTTTCATTAACTGATACTTAAAATCCAATGAATGGATGAAGTCACCATTGGAAAGAGTATAAAATATTCTCTGATGTTCCTACCTTAGAAACTAATCAGCTGCCACCCTCCTCTTTGCTGGCTATCATAAGGCATAAAGCACCATAATTTACAAGGTCCTCACAGTGCCTCTAAATCGTACAGACACAGATGAGGAAATGCAATGTCTTTGGCAGCCACAAATGACTCTCCTACTTCCAATAAATAGAATTAACCAGTCTGTACTTGATAAATAAGCTTCCTAAGACTATAGTCATGGGTATAACTAACACCTCACAAATTCTGGAAGGCAGCTGGCTGGAGACTCTGTGGACCCTCCAGAGACTGTATGTATATATAAAGGAGTGGAGAGGATAGAGTAGGAGTGTCAGTAATCTCATTAATAAAAATTTCCAAGGGGCAGTCACTGATGACTCCCCAAACTCACTTTTCAGCTTCATGACTCTTTTCAAGTGAAATTTGTACCACCATCTCCCTCTCTCCAACTTTTCAGAAAGGTCCATGAATGTTTCAGATCACTGGGTACTCTGTAATGAATCACCATGAGCAACAATAAGTAGAATCCTGGTGACCTAAGAAAAGTGACTGGTGTTTTATGCCAAGGGAAATTCACCTGACTTACATTGTTTTCTCACTTGACCCAGTAGAATAGGGGAACTGGAGAAATTTCCAGTTGGCCACCATACCTGTCTTCCAGCTTCCTAGAAGTCAGTTGTAAAAGGGATTCCACTTTCTGGAGTGCTATAAAAACCCAGCCTGGAAGGGACCTCTAGAGGCAAAGAATAGCTCAACAACTCATTTTTCCAACACATAAAAGGGTAATTACTTGAGCATTTCTTTACAATTTTAGATATTGTAAAATTTCATAATAGCAAAATGCGGTTTTGTCTCAGGCCTTGGGCTCCTCCAGTTGGACATTACCTGCCAGGAAAAGCCTTGCCCTGAAGGAGTGTTTAGCTAAAGAGCCTTCAGTGAGTTCTGGCAACAGAATTGGAATTCAATTGTGAACAATCTTGTTCTTTCTCAAATTGTTCCAGTCCGATGTCTTTTCCACATACTGCTTGCCAAGAGGTTGGGCTATTCTCAACCAGCTGTCTTCCAGAATTCACCTACAGTCAGGATTGACTATATCACCTCTCCTGAGTGATCTCAGTTATACACACCTGAATACCGGATGGCTTGGGAGGTCGATAACACACTTAGGCAGTTCTTTCCCTTTAGATTGCCAGCTTGAATCAGACCCAGGTGGGTGGTGACTCAAAAGCTGTTACTGTCTTTGGTCCAATTCAAGTTGTTGGGTTTGATCTGTAGGGAAACGTCTTTGTAATGTGTGCCAGGGAAACTCAATTTAAAAAATAATAATATGTGGAGAATTGTTATATAAGAGTAATATTGCTTTATGGGTCCTTGGCTAGGACTTTTGAAACTAAACATTATGAGAGGGAAAACATTAAATAGAGGAACATTACCATCAAGAGTTGCTATATAAAACATCCTGGAATGAATAAATTCTGAATTTTTAAGCCCCCTTTCAAAGGGATTTGAAGTCATCCTTTGGCTTTGTTGGGAGGTCAACTCACTTGCTCTTTTTTCCAAGACATCCAAATATTGGAGATCCTTGGAATCCAAGGGTTGGTTGGGATCATAAGAGACTCTTTCCTTCTCCTTGCCTTCAGACAGGCACACATTAAATCACCCAAGGAAAGGATATTCAAGGTCTATTTTTATAGCTCTCTAGACCAGGAGATTCCTCAAGTGCCAAGATTGATTTATAACCCAGGTGCACTTTTTACTCAGAGCAGAGCTGGAAATCTAGATCCTGACTAAAGAAGAAGTCACCTTTTTTCTTCTTTCTCTTTGGCCTCTTGTCTGTCCCTATTCAGAAACAGCTATGTCTTCCACTGGAAATGCTGGTGGTAGCTGGGAGCTATCCCTGGCTAAAATATATTCAGAGCAACCAGGAGGGCAGGGTAGTCACTATAAGCTAGTAGATGTGGTACACTGTGTTGAGTGAATCCAATTTATCCGAACTCTCTGTACAAGTCCAAACCTCTTTGGACAGCTGGTTTCTTGAACCCGTGCCTGATCTGGGACCACATTTTCCAGTTTGCACTTTGGATCACATTTCTGTTGCATTGCCAAACTTTTCTTCTCAACTCTAGACATAGCCCCTGCCTCTCATCCTGGTTTGCTCTGATACTGACCCATTTTCACCAATAGAATGTATGTTCCCTGACAGCAGAGACTTTATTTTTTGACTTTATGCCCCTAGAGCTCAGAGTTTAGCACAGTATTTTACACATAGTAGGCCCTTGATTAATGAGTTGAATGATCAACCTGTTGCTTCTGCCCAGAGACTCTGAGATCATAGGATCACAGATGCCGACTTTAGAGAGGGGATCCATTCAACTGGAGGAGCCCAAGTGAAGAGAGGTGAGGTGATTTGCCCAAGGTCAAACAGGCAGTGAAGGGCAGGGTCAGGATTCAACCTTAGGCCCCATGACTCTGCTGCTCCTTCCACTGCATACTGCCTCTGGCTCCTCCTAAACTGAAATGTTAGTTACCGTTAGAGACTGCCCTGATGGCACTGTACCCCCAAGCCATGGAGAGTCTTGGACTCCTGCCCCTGAGACTGTACAAATACTGACAAAATGAATGGAGAATTTATTTCATACTGAATAATTATTTAAACCCCAAAGTTCCTTTTATCTGAAATTGTCGACTAGCTGAAGAAAATGCTTTTTGAGGAAGTCTAAAATTATCAAAATAATCGCCTTCATTCTCTGTCTCATTGAGCTAATTTGATCCATTTTGTGTTATATATAATATATTTATGATTGCATACTTATGCATGCATGTATGTGTGGATGTGTGTTTATATGTGTGTATTTACTTGAATAAGCATACAATCAAATATACATTTATTACTCTTTGGAAGCAGGAAGTCAAAGAGAAAAAGTGTAGCTATTTCAGAGTGGCTAAACTCAGGAAGACCTGATATTAACTAGCTTTGTGACCCTGTTGTTAATTTATTTGCCTCAGTTTCCTCATCTATCACAGGGTGGTTGTGAGACTTAAATGAGCTGGTGAAAGGAAAATGTTTTTCAGACTGTGAAGCACTTTGTAAATATTAGTAAGAATTAGCAAACTGAATAGATCACAGTAATGGTGGAATTAGTAATACTCAGGTTCAAGCTCTACCTCTGATACCTAGCTGTGTGACCCTCTGAAGGTCACTGAATGCCTCAGTGCCTTAGATAAATCTCTGGGACAATAAGTTATGGAGCTGCATAGAGGGTGGAGAAGGAAATGGCAAACCACTCTAGTATCTCTGCCAAGAAAACCCCAGTTAGGGTTATGAAGAGTTAGACACAACTGAAAACAACTGAACAGCAACAAAAATCCATAGAGGGGTTTCCACTTCCAAATTCTACCAGAAGTTGTCTGAAAACATTCAAGGAACATTTATTAGACACCTTTAGTAAACCAGGCATTGTGCTAGATGTTAGGTATACAAAGACAAATCCATTTTTTAGATAAAGAAGCTGAGGCAAAGAGAAGTGACTTATTCATGATCACACAGCTAGAAAGTGTCAGGGGGAAGATTTAAAAACCTGTCCTGCCTTCACCAAGCTTACATTCTAGTCATGGGAAACATTGTGCACATATATAAGGATATTTTAAAAATTGGTACAAATTAGAACAAGTGATTTAGAGGGAAGGCATTCTTAGGTGGAGAAGACAGGAATGGAACCAGGAGAGGCTTCATGTAGAAGGTGATGCTTGAGCTGAGTCGTGAAAGAAATGAGGTGAGAAGGGAGCACATTCTAGGTACATGGGAAACAGCTTGACAAAGGCAAAGAGGTGGGATATGGAGTGCTATGTATGAGAAATAATAAGTTCAGTTTGATTGCACCATTGGGTTTGTGAAGGGGAGTAATGTGGAATTAGGTTGGAAAAATAGATTGGAACCAGGTTGTGCAGGGCTTTAAATGCCAGTCAAAGAAGATGATCCTAGGGGCACTAAGGAGCCAATGGAGTGGATTGAGTAGAGAAGTGACATGGTAAGACCTGCCTTGTAGGACAATCACATTGGCAGCTGTGTTGAACTGAGGTGACTCACAAGGGCTGAACCAGATAAATATGTAATTGGGAAATATTTAACAAAATAAATAAAAAATTCAATAGAATGTAGATGATGTTAATATGTGGTTTTCTGAGTCAATATGCTCCTACGGGTGGGATCATAATGGATGGCTTAGTGGCCTCATTTCTATTTGCATTTGATACCACTGGTGTAGAAGATGGATTTAAATGGATATAAAATTATAGGTTCAACACCCCTCATCTCCACCTCCACATAATCAAACAAGTGTCAGTTATCATTATCTCTGGTTGTTCAACACAAGCCTCCTTCCTCCTGCAAACTCTATTTCCTGGGCAATGTAGAATAGAAAAGAATAGCATTTTTTAAGCTGAAAGGGATCATGGAAATTCTCTAGTCCAAGCTCCTTACCTTACAGATGAAAAAACAGACATATAGCAGGTATGTGACTTGCCCAAGGTCTCCCTGCCAGTGAAGGAGAGAAGACTAGGATCCAAATTCCTTCCCTCTAATTCAGGGCTCTTTTCAGTACATTAGTCTGCTTCCTATTCTGAGAGGATTCACATTTATTCACTAAAACATATTGCATTTTCTCTGAATTGGATGTGATTTTTCAAAGTAAGATGGCAGAAAACAGAGTGGATTGTGGATTGTATTTGAAGGGTTTGGAATGGTATAATTGTTCTTTATTCAGTGTCTATGTGATCTTGGTTCTGTTTTCAAGGCATCTTCTGTGGGACTTCTTAGTGGGTATATTCGTGGTTGATTTGCCTGTGTAGGCTTTATTGAAGGATAAATGGAGAGAGGGGGAGGTTGGAAATCTATATGGTCCCCCAATAGTCAGTTTCTTTGAATAGAATTCTCACCATTCTGTTAATTCCCAAATCCCTGGGGTAAAATGGCTGGCTCTGGAAATTTGTTTTTATAGCCAAGGATTCCTAACCTGTGGTCCCTGAACCTGTTTTGAAAAATATTTTGCTGACTGTATTTCACTGTAATAGGTTTCCTTTGTAATCTTATGTATTTAAAGGCAGCTAGATGGCACAGTGGATAAAAGGATGTACCTGGAGTCAAGTAGACCTGAGTTCAAGTTTGGTCTTACATGCTTCCTTAGCTCTGTGACCCTAGGCAAGTCACTTAACTCTCACAGCTTTGGTTTTCTCAACTGTAAAATGGGGATAATATAGCACCTACCTTCCAGGATTGTGTGGATCAAATGAGATAATACCTGTAAAGTGCTTAAGCCAGTGCCTGGCACAAGGTCAATAACACACTTAATAAATGCATGTTCCCTTCCCTTTTGCCCCCTATTTTATATATTGAAAGACATGATTCTGAGAAGGGATCCATAGGCTTTGCCAGACTGCCAAAGGGTGTGTGTGACACAAAAACATCAGGAACTTCTGTTTCTACATTTTATACTTCTGCTAGAATTTAGTGACTAACCTCCTGGGGTTGGGGAGATGGGAATGATCTGTGGTGAGGGTAAGGAGTCTAGGGAAAAAAAAGAACAACTGAAAAGACAACTTGGCTTCAGTTCAACCTAACCTGGGTGGTTGGTCTTTATCCAGAAGAATGTTGTCCAATACTGGCATTGTCTCAGTCTGACAGACAGGAAAGCTATAATGGCTCCCAGGCTGTACTATCACCATCATAATGCAGGGAAACTACAGCAAGAATACACTTGCACGTTTGGACACTTGGTGCCATAAAGGGACACTGTAATTTCATAGTTATGTATAAAATATCTGTTTGTGTCCATCCTGTCTAGGATGTCCAGTTCTTAAATATAGTTTAGGTTTAGCTCAAGCCTTTGTTCCATTTCTCTTAAAAAAAAAAAAAGCCTACCATCAACTC